AATAATTATTATTATTATATATACAAACAAAACTATTATTTACCTACAAAATATATCAAACTGTACAAAAATAAATAATTCTTAATTCTCACACCCTGTTTTCGAAAATAAAATTTTCGACAGTCTTTACAATAACATCCACTCATGCGAATAAAAATAGGCAACCAAAGGACATTGTACATATGAAATATTAAATTAATAAATCTGTGAATAACTGGACTTATTTTTTTTTGTGTTTTGGATGATTAACTTCATTAAATTGCAAAAGCATTTTAGCAATGTGAATGAATTAAATTTTGTCTCATTCCGTCTTTGTTCCGTCTTAAATCAGCATAAATAAATATATCAGTTACTTACCAAATAAAACGTTACAATATCACATTCTTTAAAATAAATAATTAAGGTGGCCAACGGACTTTTCCAATTGTTACGCGACGTTCTTCAACTCGAAATTTTTCTGGGTGTAGATGTTTGAAATGTTCTTGTTTTTGTCCATCTCTATCAAATCCACCGGTTTATAGTCGCAGGGTGAAAATTTCTGTTTGGTACGCTGCTTGTGAATTCTGAAAACGCACATTGAAATGGCAAAGACGAGGGCTAAAAGAACACCTCCACTGAAACCCACGAAAAACATGCTGAGCTTTTCTCGATCTGTGAAAGACATTTAAAATTAATTGCCTTCAATTTAAATATTGTAAACTGGTGCATAGTCTCGCGATAGTGTGAAAATCGTCTAATTGTTCCAATTACAACGTTAAAATGAGATTTTCATGAGCTTTTGTTGGAACTAATTCAGCAATACGACACCAATCGTTAGTGGAGGTCAGTATGTCACTGTAGAACAGCTGTTGTTACAATAATGTGACATGATACTTATTTACGGATTTGAACCATATCGCCGCTGTAGGGACGAAGGAAGTCAGATAAGTCAGGACGGAAGGAGTAGTAGAAATATAAAGCAAAGGATAGCGCATGGTCGAATCGCATTCAATAAAAAGAAGTCACTTCTATGCTCGCGAATGGTTAATTTAGAAATTCTAAAAGATTGTTAAAGGTGTATGTTTGGAGCGCGGCGCTGTACGAGTGCGAAACATAGACAGTGAGCGCGGCGAAAAAGAAAAGGTTAGACTCGTTCGAAATGTGGCGTTACAGGCGAATGATGAGGATACTGTGGAAATGAAGAGGTATTAGAAAGAATAGGAGAACAGAGGACTCTATAGTAAGGTGACCATATTTTTTTATTTCAAATCCGGGACAGGAACTTGTAGCGGGGGGGAGGGGGCGGGTAGGTAAGTTAAATAACTTAAATATGATTTTTTTAATAATTATAATACATAACAAATACTATTTAAGGATTAGGTGGAAGGGGATTCGCAGAATCGAGAGTTCACTGTTTGCTTCAAATGGTTTAAAGCGTGCCGCGTATTTTGATATGCACAATTTTTTCGGTTCAAATTTTGTAAAAATAATTCTAGTTGAAGTATATTTAAAATAAATATTGAAAACAAGAGCCTTTTCAAAAATTCGGGACAATCCGGGACAAAAAACCTGAATCCGGGACAAATATTGCTTCTAGA